CCCTCATACTACTAAACTCTTAAGAGAAAATCATGGCACTGTTAGTATTTTAGGAGTTCCAACTCTATAGCACTTAAAAATCTACTTCTAAATGTATTTCACACATGATCTACTTTTAGTAAACCACTACATCAGTAAACTAGTCCAATGATCTACATTAAAAGCTTGAATTATACCTGTTCTCCAATCTCCAGCTCACTGAACCAGTGGCGGGGAAGGGAAAAGGGAAGGAGGGAAAAGAAACATTTTATTAATAGTCCCTTTTCAGACTCCAAAATAATCTACACTGAAGTGCATGCAAGCAATCATATTCTTTAAAAGATGAACCTTCTATTCTTTGCAATTGTATTCAAAGCACTCCTTAAGATACACACTCATTTTATTCCTCTCCATTCTGAGAACATCTTGCCTGATTACTGTGGTTCTTATGTATTAAAAAAAAAAAAAAAGTGGCATGATAATGTCACAATGAGATTATGCCAAAGTGGTGCCAATCCAGGCCCACTGCCTACTGGTAAGGGAATTACACACACCTGCCTTGACCGCCCTGCTCTGCCCAGCAACATCACGATCGGCACACTAATGCCATCGACCTGGGAACTGTACGACTGGAAGTCTAATTTAACCTCAAAGCTCTATCATGATCAGGCAATTCTTATAAAAGCTGTCTCAGTTGATATTAAAACCCACCATCTAGTTGCATAGTAGTACAAACTAGTATTGAAAAAGAGGCAGAGTTTAGCTTAAGTAAAAACACTCTAATTACTCTACAAATGTTACAACTAGCTATGCCTTCATTTAAAACAACTCCACCCTACCCAAAGGTTAAGAATACCAGTGCTTATGTTTGAATAAACTAAATAGAAAGGAACATTACTATGCCTGACATTTTCTTGAAGCCAAAGAGCACATGTGCTCATTTATACATTCATTTTCCAGCTGGCTTTTCAGAACAGTGCCAGTGATAACCACCAGTGCAACCTGAAGCAGGTATAGTGATGATTTGGGTCATCTCAACAGTTAGCCCATCCGTGCATGTGGGACTCAAAGTCTGAATGAAGAATCAAGGTGTCAAATGTCTTTTAGACCTTGGTCAAAGGACAGATTTTGACAGGCTTTTTGTGACTGTGTCAACAAGTATAATCCTCACAAATAGGGCACAGTCTAAAGTAAGTAGTTCCACTGGTAGTCTGTTACTTCTAAGTCCATGGTCCTGAGCAGCCAACACCAGGTTCATCGCCTGGCCTGGCAATGTCACTGAAACTGAAGCAGCAGGGGTGGTGGCCATCAGTTTCAACACCCTACTAAACCCATCCCACTCTTAGCCCACTTTGGCACATTATAAATTTTGACTATTCAAATAAGGAGAATATGGGAACTGTACGACTGGAAGTCTAATTTAACCTCAAAGCTCTATCATGATCAGGCAATTTTTATAAAAGCTGTCTCAGTTGATATTAAAACCCACCATCCAGTCGCATAGTAGTACAAACTATGCGAGTGGAGTAGTGGACTATTCTGACCAAATGCTGGTGGGAAAAGCATACCTGTTGATGGCTTTGATGTGAATATAAAATTATCTCAAACATTTTTTCTATTAATAGAAAGGATAGCAAAAAATTACAGATTAATAAGCCACAGAAATGGTAAAAAGGTTGTTTTGAGTGGATTCCACCAGGAGTGGCTTCGTCATATTTTGTGGACCAGTTTTTCAGCAGAGCTACCAGAAAATTCATTGGTCTCGTGGATCCAGAGGTAACTGCGACTGGGTGAAGGCCCTCCCCAACCTTGTGTTAACTAAACCCATTTCCAGAACATGTCATTCTCGGGGACACACCATTTCCCAAGTGCAGGTTAAAAGGTACCCATTTGGTATGGGTTGCTCATCTTCCTTCATGTAACATGCATTTTTCAGTTTCCAAAATAAATGTGACCAAACAAGTTTCTCCTTTACTCATATTTTAAAATACAGCACTGGGATTATAATAGACTGTCGTCCAAAAGCCAACATGCAAAGCATCAAAGCAAACTCAGTGAAGGTGATGCATCCCCACACAGTGCTCACACTCTCAGTACCTGCTAGACACTTCATTTCTGATGAATAAGAAATCCAAGTGGAGGGAAAAGGCAAAAAAAAAGTTCATAGAACACTTGATTATTTGTTAATTTAACAACCCAGCACCTTTATTCCATAACTACTTACAACTAGCTAGCAAAGCTGGTAAAGAGCTGCTTATCATTAAAATCACTTAGGTCTTGGCTAACTGGAGAAGCAGCAACCTTGAGATTTCCGCTGCCTCTCCAGTGCGCCAGGAGAACATGGGCCACATTGATCCAACTGCTTCTTAACTGGGTGTCCGTGTTAAGAAAACAAGTTTACTTACAGGGGACAAAATTTGCTCCCCCTTTAACAGCCCATGCCAATTAGCAGTAAAAGGAAAACTTTTTACAACAGAGGCTCAAGTTGCCCACCAGGATCGCTGCACCAATGTGGACCCCATGTGCTATTCTGTGAGCTGATTAAGGAACAGGCCAAGCTACTCTACTATGGTGGTGTTAAGATACTACTATGCTATGTAGCTTCTCAAAACACATTACCTTCTGTAATCCAGAAGAAGGAAGACAAGAAAAAACAATAAGATTATCAATAAAATAAAACCCTCCTTTCTAGAAACTAAAGACCTACAGTTAAAGACATTTCTGTATTTCCTTTAAGAACCCTACCTTTTTGCCAGCACCAACATTGGCTTTTGCAGTCCCCCTGACTTTCTTCATTCTGTTCTTGCGTTCTTTTCGCTGTTTTCTTGACGTCTTTTTCTTCTCATAAAGGCCATGCTAAAGAAAAAAGGAACATATCAAAATGATTTGCTGGCATTAACACATCACTACCCAATACCTTGGCAGAGAAACTGACCCAAGTCAGAACTAAGAAAGTTTTCCAAATCGAAACTTTTCAAGTTCAGTTGGGCAAGAACAGAAAGGATCAACAAATCAAATAACTGAGGAGAGTAATGACACAAGAAACAAACAGTCTGTTGACTGCTCCCTGAACAGGAAGTTCAGGAGGCTGGCTGCTACTATCTAGCCTAAATCCACAATTCCTTAGGTAATCCTATTTCTGCTTCCCTTGAGGAACTGTTCACATTTCAACATTTCAACAGTCTACCTCCCTGACATAGGGATTCCAAGCTCCTCTTCACTCTGCCTACCTTTGCCACTTGCTATTGCTTCGACCTAGAAGACTGTTTTAAAAACGGTGTAGTACTGGGGCCAACTGTGCAGTTAGGAGTCCCACATTCAGTGGTTTAAAAACCACACCAGGCACGTGTATAGGCACCCAGAATCCTGAGAAGAGAGCGGAGGAGAAAGGATTCCAGCATAGCCATGATCTCCAGAAGAAAGTTTTCTTACTTTCTCCCCGTTTCTATAGTGCACATGATCTATAGCAAAATTTTAAAAAATAGTATCTGGGGACCAGTGGATGGCATAATGGTTATGCTGCCAGATTCTCTCAGGAGTCCAGTCCTGGACCCAGTGGCTTGAAACTCACGCTGGGCACATATGCGCTTGCCCAAGCTCCTGAGAGGAAAATGAAAATGGATTTGGGTGTGGCCATCCCACCCTCCTGCCCCAGGGATGATTTCTCACTTTCTGTCTCTTGGGCAACCACACACACCCTATAACAAAAATCTTTTTTAAAAATAGTATCAATGGGACCAGCAGTTAGCATAATGGCTATGTCGCTGGACTCCCATATAGTCGACTGCGATTCGCGTCCCGGACCCAGTGGCTTAAAACTCATGCCAGGCACATGTGCGTGAGTGCCCAAGATCCCTAGAGGAGAACAGAGAAGGGACTATGGTATGGCCATCCCCCCTGGGGGGTGATTTCTTACTTTCTGTCTCTCTGTCTCTCTGTCTCTGGCGAGCACACAGGCCCTATAGCAAAAACCTCTCACACAAAAAAAATAGTATCAATATATCAAATCACCAAGATTTCTCTCACAGCCACCTTACGGTAAGATTTCCTGATACCACAGAAGCATTTCAAGGTAATGTTCTTACTTGTCCATTAGAACGTAAAATAGGAAGCTTGCCCAGTTCACTGTTGTAGCTCACTTTGCAGTGCACGGCACCCAGTAACTCATAAAAGATCTTCACAGGTTACCAGGTACCTAGAGGGTGAAGTCCAAACTCTGATATTTGGTATTAAAGGACCTTACTGAATTTGGTGTCAGACTACCTTTCCAAATTCATCCACCTACTCCCACTCGAGAAAACCCTTACCCTGACCTATCTCCATGGATGCTTATGTATTTTTCCCCCCT